AAACCCTAAACCCTAAACCCTAAACCCTAAACCCTAAACCCTAAACCCTAGGGTGATGGAAAACGATGGGGGGTGGAGGTAACTTTAGTTACGCTTTTCGGGTCTCATCGAACTTTGCGTCGGGCTATGGGGCCGCTACGTGGCTCCTGGATGCGGACCTGCAATACTTGCGCAGCAGAGGCTACCAATGCCTCGAGCTGCGTGCTCCGCCCGTGGTCTGCGCAAGCAGTCTCAATGCAAAGGTTGTTTTTGGGGTTAACCCAAACCCTCAGCTCTCAACCAACATCGACCCTAAAATCCCCCCAAATCCCGAAGTAAGTCCCCTAAGCCCTAAACCCTAAACCCGAAGCCCTAAACCCGAAACCCCAAAACCCTCAAATCTTCCATCTAAGCTCTAGCATCCTGTTCCCTCCCGCGCTCTCGCGCCTTCCCGAACGCATGCCTGTTGGAGGTTTAGGGTTCAGGGTTCAGGGTTTAGGGTTTAGGGTTTAGGGTTTTGGGGATTCAGGGTTTAGGGGGGTTAGAACCCGAAGCCGTCAAGCCTAATCTCTAAACTCGACAAGGGCTTCATGCAGTTTACACCGCGGCTTCAGGGCAGGTTTAAAGATGTAGGGTGTACCTAGGGCGCTTTTGACCTAGGGATATTCCTACTCATCGCGGGAGTACGATGCGTATCCCCAGCTGGACCAGGGTTCAGGTGGGATTTCGTTTTCGGGGTCTCGGGGTTGAAAGGTCCAAGCAGAGCTCTACCAGTAGTCTTAGCGTTGTAGTCGTCGTACCGTAGTAGTAGGGGTCGTCGACGAGTAAAGGGGCCGTCGTCGTCGTCGTGGTGGTGGTGGTGGTGGTGGCGGTGGGGGTGGTGGTGGTGGTGGGGGGGGTGGTGGTGGTGGTGGTGGTGGTGGTGGTGGTGGTGGTGGTGGTGGTGTGCGAAGTGGTAGAACCGGGAGGAGCAGCAGGAATCTTTGGAGTCGGCTTAGGATGAAGAGGCAAGGCCTAGGAGTTATGATTTGTAGCTTGGGGTCGAGAACACAAAGTGGGAATGCGTGCGAAGACAAGGCAATCCAAGTTTGGGCCTACAGTACCCGCGCCCCACGAGTCTGTACTTCTGCCTCGAAAAGGGTTACCTCGGCCTCACTGGGGTTGGACGCCTCCATAAATCCCAAACCGTTAACCCCTAAACCCTAAACCCTAAACCCTAAACCCTAAACCCTAAACCCAAAACCCGAAACCCTAAACCCCAAACCCAGACCACCCGAAGCCCAAAAACCCTAAACCCTAAATTTCCAGGGCCAACCCCATGCCATGGTTGGGGAGGTGTTCGGCGGTTGGAGTTTACCTACTACCATCTTCCGCAACCACACTTCCCTACTTCCATACAGTTTACCTACTACTTGGAAGGATGAGGTACCTCTTTTCCCTGCAGAATCCTTGAAAGGATTCTATTGGGTCCCAATTCCCCAAGCCTCAAGAGCCTAATTAAGGCTTAGCTACCGATCCTTAAACCCTAAACCCTAAGCCCTAAACCCTAAACCCTAAACCCTAAACCCTAAACCCTAAACACTAAACCCTGAATCCTGAACCCTGAACCCTAAACCCTAAACCCTAAGCCCTAAGCCCTAAACCCTAAACCCTAAACCTTAAACCCCAAACCCTAAACCCTAAACCCTAAACCCTACACCCTAAACCCTAAACCCTAAACCCTACACCCTAAACCCTAAACCCCAAACCCCAAACCCTAAACCCTAAACCCGCAACCCTGAGCTTAACTACCGATCCCATCGCTCCGAACCCCAGTGGCACTGAAGCGCCCACGCGTTCTTTTTTTTAATCGTTGGTGGGCATGTCGCAGAGTTTTCCTTGCCATCCTAAACCCCAAACCCCAAACCCCAAACCCCAAACCCTAAACCCTAAACCCTAAACCCTAAACCCTAAGCCCTAAACCCTAAACCCTAAACTACCGATCCACAGAGTTCTCTTTGCCATCAGCCCGACGCCCGATTCAGGACGCAAGGCCTCTGAAACGTTTTGTCGCGCGCCCTTGGGTTGGGGCATCTGCTCCAAGCCCTGGAGCCTTAAATCCCCCTAAACCCTAAACCCTAAACCCTAAACCCTAAACCCTAAACCCTAAACCCTAAACCCTAAACCCTAAACCCTAAACCCTAAACCCTAAACCCTAAACCCTAAACCCTAAACCCTAAACCCTAAACCCTAAACCCTAAGCCCTAAGCCCTAAACCCTAAACCCGAAAACCCTATCTTAAACCTTAAAACCCTAAACCCTAACACCCAAGCCCCAAGACCTAGTCCCAAACCCACTCCGTTCTCAAGCCTGACGTGGAACCATCTGTTGACGCAAGATATGAGAAGCCGTAGATAGCCAGAAGCTTAAAGCCTCAATCCCAGACGAAAGCTAAACCCTAAACCCTAAACCCTAAACCCTAAACCCTAAACCCTAAACCCTAAGCCCTAAACCCTAAACCCTAAACCCTAAACCCTAAACCCTAAACCCTAAACCCTAAACCCTAAACCCTAAACCCTAAATCCTAAACCCTAAACCCTAAACCCTAAACCCTAAACCCTAAACCCTAAACCAGAACTTGGTCCCAGATGTGTCGCCCCAAAACCTGCCGAAAAAACGTCCCTCATTGGCTTGCACCGGTCTGATTGGCTTTTGCCGGCTGATGCAGGGGCGCCTGTCGAGGGTTTCAGGGTTCAGGGTTTAGGGTTTAGGGTTTGGGTTTAGGGTTCCAGGGTTAGGGTTTAGGTTTTAGGTTTGCCCGTGTTCCGCGGGCACGCGCACGCGCACATGCTAGTCCCAAGACGCCCAGACAGGATTCATCAAGCCCGCAGAACCTTTTTCGGGGAGGGGCCGGAACCCTAAATCCCTTAACCCTAAATCCCTTAATCCTCAACCCTAAACCCTACTGGTTCTTAGATCCCTCAACCCTAAACCCTAAGCCCTAAGTACCTGTTGAAGGCAAACTTTCGAGTTTCAGACACGTGGGGTCTCCAAAGACTGTTTTACCTATCAAGATGAAGCCAGCGATCCCTGTGTCGTAGTCCTCCAAGCCCCGCATGGCCTCTAAACTCCCTCAGAGGGTTTAGGGTTTAGGGTTTAGGGTTTAGGGTTTAGGGTTTAGGGTTCAGGGTTTAGGGTCTAGGGTTTCGCGCCTACAAACACTACATGTCCCTGAGTTCTCGCAGTTCCTTTCGGCAGACAGCCGCTGCTCAGCAGGGTGGGGAGGGTGGGCCCTTTAGTCCTAGGTAGGATGGGTTTAGGGTTTAGGGTTTAGGGCTTAGGGTTTAGGGTTTAGGGTTTGGGGTTTAGGGTTTAGGGTTTGGGGTTTAGGGTTTAGGGTTTAGGGGACCCTTGAAAGGGAACCCTTCTTAACCCTCGTCTGGCTCTCTTAAACAAGGACCTTATTCAGAGGGTCTAGACCTTTCAAGGGCCCCTCTAATCCTGTCCCCTATTTCGGGTTCAACAAGCAGAAGTCAAGGGCTTTAGGGTTCAAGCCCGAAACCCGAAACCCTAAACCTTAAGTCCCAGAATTCCTTCCGAAGACAAGGAGAGTAAAAGGGAACGAAGGAAAGTGGTACTCCTAAATATGCCTCACTGCTTTAGGTCGTACTACGTGGGCCATCGACCCTAAACCTTACTTAGACCCAAGACCCTAGACCCTCGACCCTCGACCCTCGACCCTAGACCCTAGACCCTAGACCCTAGACCCTTTTTGGGAGGTTTGGGGCACCACATGAGTTACAATGTTGCGTTCAGGGCCCACCGCTCCGTGGGGTTTTGCGTGAAGTCCGACAGCGCGATGCAAGACGAGCATTGCAGAAAGTAAGAGCTGAACCCTAAACCCTAAACCCTAAACCCCAAACCCTGAACCCTAAACCCTCAACCCTCAACCCCAAACCCCAAACCCCAAACCCCAAACCCTAAACCCTAAACCCTAAACCCTAAACCCCAAACCCTGAACCCTGAACCCTGAACCCTGAACCCTAATTCCTAAACCCTGAACCCTCAACCCTAAACCCCAAACCCTAAACCCTAAGCCCTAAGCCCTAAGCCCTAAGTCCTAAACCCTAAACCCTGAGCCCTAAGCCCTAAACCCTAAACAGGGTTCAGGGGGCGTGCTTTCCCGCAACACTCTGAACCCTCGAGTCGAGGGGCCCTCAAGGCCTTCGGTCTCTTTCTCTAGAGAGCGCTGACTGGTTTTAGGGTTTAGGGTTTAGGGTTTAGGGTTTAGGGTTTAGGGTTAGGGTTTAGGGTTTTTGGGCTTAGGGCTGCGGGTTTGGCTGGCTGGTTCTTAGTAGCGAACGAGGGAATGAGGCACCCTGTATAATCCCGTAAGGGTCTATATATATATATATATATATATGTATATGTCGGGCCCGAACTCCCTCATTCCCTACTAAGAACCAGGGGGGCTGATTCGACGCGAGAGACTCGAAGCTTGAGTGGTTAGGGGTTTGGGGTCGAGGGTTTAGGGTTTAGGGTTTAGGGCGAGGGACTCTAAGCTTAAGTGGTTGGGGGTTTGGGGTCGAGGTTTTAGGTTGATGGTTTTGGGTTGAAGGATGCTTCTGAAAGCACATTAGCAGGAGGAATGATGATGGTGGTGGTGGTGATGGGTGGTGAAGAAGAGAAGGGTGATCAGATGGACGACAGCGATGATCATCATCACCTCTGTAAAAGCAACCTTTTGCTTGCCATTCTTTTGCAGGTGTTCCAATTGTAAGAGGCGGCTCAGGTTTTCAGGATTGTTTACGGTGCAGGGCTGCAGAGTTTAGGGTTTCGAGGCTTGATCCCCCAAACCCAAAACCCTAAACCACGTAAAATCCTAAACCCTAGACCGTATAAACCCTAAACAATAAAACTCTAAACCCTAAACCGCATTAGGGGCCTTGGCGTAGGGTCCGGTGTTTAGTGTTTCCACGGCTGCTCACTTTCGCTGGCTGCCTCTCAGGCTCAGACAACCCTGCTGCTAGCCTGAAGTTGACATGTCATACGTTTTCCTATTCCTATCACCCATGCAGAAAGCTGCTCAGTGGCTTCTGCCCTGTCTTCTTCTCTGTGCAGCTTGGAGCTGCTCCGGCTTCACCGATGAGTCCAATGCACTGAACTTTGTCCAGAGGAAGGTGCTGCCGCGAGTTGCTCCACCGCCGAAGCTTTCAACAGCCCAAAGTGGACCGATGGAGCCCTGGCTCATTCAACACAAGTACATCTTCGCTTGTCATCACAAGGCCGGCGTCTATCTCATGGAAGACCTATTCAAAATTGTCTCCGGTGTCCTTGGGGCGAAGGACAGCGACATGGGCCATTGGATTCAGCCCTGTTATCCTGGTGCTTGCTTCTTCCCCGAGGCACCGTTCCAGATCTGGGTTGACCTCTACTCCTACGAAAGAGCACAGGAGGCACGGGAAGCTGCCGGCGCGAAAGGCATTCGCGTCGTGGGAATCGTGCGAGATCCCATGTCCATGATCGTCTCAGCATACTGCTATCATCATCGGGGTATGGAGCCCTACAACATAATGTTCTTTCCCGAAGGAACCTTATTGCAGTTGGGTCCCAAGGAAGGGCTCAAGTTTGTTGCAGAACGGATGCTGACTCTCGTTGAAAACATGACGAGTGCCTTTGAGCAGCCATTCAATGATACCTTCCACCTAGACTACGAGAAGGTCACCGGATCCTCACAGGGTTTCGACGATCAGGTTGAAGAGATGATGAGCTTCCTGTTCCAGGACCACCTACCTTCCGAGCAGATCAGCCTGGTTCTCAACATCACACAGTTTGTAGATTTGCATCGTTTCCCCAGCACGTCCAACCACACGAATGATGAAGAGTGTGAGGACGAAGTGCGCAAGTACGTGCCCTCACTGCCCCCAGAGCTCTTGTCACGCTACCGCTCATTCCAGGAGCGACTTGGATATGCAGCCACATGAGGCGACTGTGTCCTGACGACCCGCGTTGTGAGGCTATTGGCAGTTTCGTGACAAGCCCTAGTCGTATGGGCCGTTCTCACCCTCTCCTTGGCAGATTCTTGCAAAAAGGGCGCCAGACCTTTCGGAAGACGTAAGAAGAGTCTTACAGGCTTCCCTCTAACCCCCCCCCCCCCCCCAATATCGTACTACAACTTCAACCTGCTAGGCAATGAAGCCCGAACCCTAAACCTATACCACGCGGTAAGGCATCTTCAGCCGAGGGCCGAGTTCAGCCTAAGGGGGGGCGCTGCGTCAGTTACCGAAGGTTCGTGGAAACATTTTGGGGGGTCTTGTTGCTAGGAGAACCCCCAGGCTTGGTAACATTTTAGCTTGTGTGTCTTGCCCACACAAAGACCTAAACATACATCCTTTAGTTCTCTGTCTCTTTCATGGCTGTAATATGCTGTAATGTTACACACGTTGTGGGGTGGGTTTGCAAGTTTTTCCCAGATGCCCGTCGAGGGACCCGGAAATGTTACCGGTAACGTTTCGTCCCCCCCCGCCCCAAAGCCATCCTAAACCTTAAACCCTAAACCCTAATCCAAAACCCTGAACCCTACACCCTAAACCCTAAACCCTAAACCCTAAACCCTAAACCCTAAACCGTAACCCTAATCCAAAACCCTGAACCCTAAACCCTTTAGGGGCTGGCGCCGCCCTTCCTACATTTGGGGGGGAGGGGGCCAAACCCACAAACCCTAAACCCTAAGCCCCAAACTCTAAACCCTAAACCCCAAACCCTAAACCCTAAACCCTAAACTCTAAACCCTAAACCCTAAACCCCAAACCCTAAACCCTAAACAGCCACCTTCTTGCGCTGCCGCCTTGGTGTCTCTGGATCTGCCAGCGCCTCTTCCTTCCTGTCTGGGGGGAGGGCTCGTGTGGCGCCTCTTAAGCGCAGGCGCAGGGTTTAGGGTTTAGGGTTTAGGGTTTAGGGTTCAGGGTTCAGGGTTTCGGGTTTAGGGTTTAGGGTTTAGGGTTTGGGTTTGGGGTTTAGGGTTTAGGGTTTAGGGTTTCGGGTTTCGGCGAGTTCGATTGTGATGGGGGTTTGGAGTTTCAAGGCTTGCCCCTCAAAACCTAGGTTCAGGGCTTGTGTCATAGTGTGGGGTGCAAGGGTGCGGCTGCAGCGGGGATTTGGCACCAAGGAACTGTCAACAGGACTGAAAACAAGCCCTAAACCCTAAACCCTAAACCCTAAACCCTAAACCCTAAACCCTAAACGCTAAACCCTAAACCCTAAACCCTAATCCTTAAACCCTAAACCCTAAACCCTAAACCCTAAACCCTAAACCCTAAACCCTAAACCCTAAACCCTAAACCCTAAACCCTAAACCCTAAACCCTAAACCCTAAACCCTAAACCCTAAACCCTAACCCGGAACCCTAAGCCCTAAGACCCAAACCGGTCCACTTCTCCCCAACTGCCAAAATTTTTCCCTGCGTGGCCATCGGAAGCAAGTCCGACGTGGATTCGAGGTTTAGCTTTCAGTAGGCCTAGTTCAGCTTTCCCCTAAACCCTAAACCCTAAACCCTAAACCCTAAGCCCTAAGCCCTAAACCCTAAGCATCATGGGTTTCCCGACTACCCCCCCCCCCCCCCTAGGTTCCTTAATTAGGCTTAACTATCCCTAAATAGCCTAAATTATGGGCGGGAACCTAGGCAAGGGGTCGTAGCCGCAAACCCTAAACCCTAAACCCAAGGTAATGCGGACAAGTCTAACAGTCATCAAGTTCCGTAGTCCTTCAGGTGTGGTGCCCCCGAAACTCCAGGGGCCCCCAAGGCCCACAACCCTTCTAAACCCTGAACCCTGAACCCTGAACCCTGAACCCTGAACCCTGAACCCTGAACCCTGAACCCTAAACCCTAAACCCTGAACCCCAAACCCTAAACCCTAAACTCTAAACCCTAAACCCCCAATTCAGACCCCCAAGCAGGTCTCTCTCCCCTGCTCGTTCGCGGGGAGGACGGCGTGGTGGTGCATTGGGAAGAGGGTGTGGTCGGGGTTTGGGACCCGAAGCCCACGGTTTAGGGTAGGAATGTTTGAGGGTTTTACTCCTGGTGTTTTGGAGAAGTAAGGTACCGTGATGATGAGGTTTAGGGCTTAGGCTCCCCCCAGAGAATGCCTCATATCACATATCGTGTTGTGCCCTTTTCGTTGTTCCCCTCCTCCTCTATATAATGTAGTCACCCTTCCGGGCATAAACAGGGTGAGGTGATCATGGGTTTCCCTACTACCCCCCCCTCTATACTACCTCCCCCCCCAAGAGTTCCCCCCCTTAAGTAGCCTTAACTAGGCTTAGTTATCCCTAAATAAATAGCCTTAGCTATGGCGGCGGACCTAGGAAGGGGAAGTAGCCCTAAACCCTCAACCCTCAACCCTAAACCCTAAACCCTAAGCCCTAAGCCCTAAACCCTAAACCCTAAACCCTAAACCCTAAACCCTAAACCCTAAACCCTAAACCCTAAACCCTATGAAAAGGTAGTAGGGGTCTTCTGAGTATTGGCGGGCACCCTCGCCTTGACCGGACTGACTGGCAGGTCCCGTGCCCTCTCTCCGCCCCCCTCTGTTTTACATCTAGGGTTCCAAGTAGGGTTTAGGGTTTAGGGTTTAGGGTTTAGGGTTTGGGGTGTAGGGTTTAGGGTTTAGGGTTCCAAGACTGGACCCTTAATTTGGGTCTCTTGTGAAAAAACCCTCATATACACTGCATATATGTATATATATATATATATATATGTATGCACATAAACAGGCCCATACTTCGATCCCAAGAAACAAGGGCAAGGGACCGTACGAAGGGCCCATGGGCCCGAAACCCTGAACCCCAAAGCGCTAAGCCCCAAACCCCTAAACCCTAAACCCTAAACCCTAAAACCCAAAGTTTCCCTAAACCCTAAACCCTAAACCCTAAACCCTAAACCCTAAACCCTAAACCCTAAACCCTAAACCCTAAACCCTAAACCCTAAACCCTAAACCCTAAACCCTAAACCCTAAACCCGAAACCCTAAACCCTAAACCCTGGAGTCTTGGAAGGATGCGGGCCGCTCACCTCACTGCGAGATGAGTGGCTTTCTTTTCTGGCTCCCTCGGCTTCTGCGGCTCAGCTTGTAAACCTGTAGGGTTTGGGGTTTAGGGTTTAGGGTGTAGGGTTTAGAGTTTAGGGTTTAGGGTTTAGGGTTTAGGGCTTAGGGCTTAGGGTTTTAAGGCGTCGGGGTTTAGGGTTTAGGGTTTTGGGGTTCAGGGTTTAGGGTGCTGTTTTGGATGTTGTTACTTCTCTTGTCCGAGGGCTGCAGCAAACTGGTTGTTGGTCTCACGGTTTAGGGTTTAGGGTTTAGAGTTTAGTTCTTGGGGCAATGCCCGAAATGCCGCATGCAAATCCGAAGGCTTCAGCGATTACAAGTTTCAGTGACAGAGGCCGAGGCAGAGATCAAGCGAGCATGAACGACGACCCACTCTTCTTCATGGCGTCTGTGTGGGCATGAGTTACATAAAGGCACCGGCGGCTTAAGCCATGCGGTCTAGGGTTTAGGGGTTTAGGGTTTCGGGTTTAGGGTTTAATTGGGGTTTAGGGTTGTAGAGGGATGTAGGGTCTAGGCCGGGAGCGGGTCGTTCTTCGTTTGCTCAAAGGAGCATGGACACACCACCCTCCGGAACTCGATTCCCCGTAACCCGAAGTGCTCACCTAACCCAAGCCCAAACTTAGTAACCCCAAACCCTAAACCCTAAACCCTGAACCCTGAACCCTGAACCCCAAACCCTGAACCCTGAACCCTAAACCCTAAACCCTAAACCCTAAATCCTAAACCCCAAATCCCTGGCCCTGATCTAACCCTAAGCCCCTGAACCCTTGATCTGTCGAACCTGGCCCCACCCAGAGAGCCCAATACTGCTTAATTAAGGAAACCCTAAACCCTAAACCCTAAACCCTAAACCCTAAACCCTAAACCCTAAGCCCTAAGCCCTAAACCCTAAACCCTAAACCCTAAACCCTAAAATTCTACAGGGAACCTTAATATGATTTAAGGGACATTCCTGAATTCAGGGATATACCTTAAGTTCTAAAGGGCACCTTAATCTGATTTAAGGTACATTCCCTAAATCATAGGGTTTAGGGTTTAGGGTTTAGGGTTTAGGGTTTAGGGTTTAGGGTTTAGGGTTTAGGGATACTGGGCTCTTTGGGTACCTGCCGAGGCTCCTGCTCTTGGCGCTGGGCGCGGCGGAGCGCTCGGACGAAGTGCGGCTGGAGCTCGAGGAGTCTGTTTCTAGGGTTTTGGGTTTGAGCTTTAGGGTTTAGCGTTTAGATTTTGAGTGTTGAGGGTTTAGGGTTGAGGGTTGATGGTTTAGGGTTTAGGGTTTAGGGTTGAGGGTTTAGGGTTTAGGGTTTAGGAGGGGGTGGGGGGGCGCGGAAAGAAGGGGGACGAGAGTGTGAGGGTTCAGGGCTGGGACAGTTGGGTAGGATTGGTAAGGCGAGCCATTGGGCTCAGGGATTCAGCGTCGAGGGCCCCAAACGCCAAGCCCTAAACCCTAAACCGTGAATACACCCGAAGGCCTCAGCCTCGAAAATCAGGAGACGTTCACGACATCGAGCGACACCAGTGTCCTGAAAGAGCTGACCATCTACCTTGGCTGTTCGCCACGGCAGACGGATGCAGCTATCCTGATGTCAGCGGGCAGAGCTTCGAGCTCATGTCCTACGGAGGAACTGCCGCAACCCTAAACCCTAAACCCTAAACCCTAAACCCTAAACCGTAAACCCTAAACCCTAAACCCTAAACCCATGAGAGGCAGCTCAAGCAAGGGGGTGCACAAGAATTTGGAGAAAGCAGCTCAGCAAGCGAAGACGTTGCTGAAGGGGGCCCTCCAGACAGAGATGGGCGTGAAGAATCCAAGTGCCAATTCGCTGGTGGGAGTAATGGGAAGCACGGCCGCTCTAATGTACGAACAGGGCATTCTTCCGAGTGTT